ATAGCCCCTGTCTCCTATGCCTGTTTAACTGCTTGTCTCCCCTGCTAGCATGCCAGCTCCTCAAGACCTGGGGTCATTACCTTATTTGCTTGGCAAATTCTTGGTGTTTGTTAAGATACCTGTGTCCCAAAAAACTAAAAGACAAGAGATTGGAAACCTTTAGAGATGATTATACTTGGTATAGTGTAAATGATTTTTTTTAAAAAGATTTGTAACTGATTTTTAGAGCAGGACAGGGAGAGAGAGAGAGAGAGAGAGAGAGAGAGAGAGAGAGAGAGAGAGAGAGAGAGAGAGAGAGAGAGAGAGAGAGAGAGAGAGAGAAACATTGATGTGAGAGTGATATATCCATCAGGGGCCTCCTGCACACCCCCTACCAGGGATCAAGCCCGCAACCCAAGCATGTGCCCTGACCAGGAATGGAACCGGCAATCTTTCAGTGCATGGGATGATGCCCAACCAGCTGAACCACACTGGCCAGAGCTAAACATGTGCTGAAAGCAGCAGACTGTTTATGTCACAAAGAATCTTCTGCAGAAGCCTGACATGTAAAGCACATTAGAAGAGGCAGCTGCTTGAGTTGAAGCCAGGGTAGGATTCCTGGGTCCCGCCCACCCTTGCCTCCCGTTCCTGCTCTATGGCAGGTCTTTAGGGAGCTCCTCGAAAACGCTGTGATTTCACAGACAGAGTTCTCGGACCACGGTGGAGTAGAAAGAGCCCTGGACTGTTCTCCATCTTGGTGGCCTTGGGCATGTGGCCTTGCCTTCTAGACCTGGTTCCCATCTTTACAAGGAATCGCTGGAGCCAAATGGCTCTGGCAAAGCTCGGCAGGAATTGCGACCCTTCCGCCTCCCAGCTGATCTTGGAGCTCTTTCTCGCTGAGCCCGGGAAGCCCGTTCCAAGCTCCGCACGGCCCAGTGGGTCACGTCCCATCCCAGGAGGAGTTGCCCCTCCAGGCGTGTCCCTGGCATACCCTTCTGTGGCACCGATCACAGGGACAGAGTCTTACTCCCTTGCTCAGAAAAGGCAGATTGGGTACAGCTACAGCCAGCTCCAGGGTTTATCTTGGTTCTGGAATTCTTCCTACTGTAGGAAACGGGCCTCTGTGCTCCATCTCCAGCTTGGTCGGCTTTTGATGGAATTTACTGAATTTCCCCAGAGCAAACAGACTGTAGAGAGGAGGGAAGAGGAACACAGAGCTGTGCCTGTGGGCCAACATGGCGGAAACCCCTGAGGCGCCTGCCTCAGCTAGACAGGGCAACTAGAAAGGTCTCAGCCCTTTTTTTTTTAATGGCCCAACGGGAAACAGCAAGACCTAGGCGAGGCACGAGGAAACAGGTGACCAAACAGTGCCCAGCCAATGAGGAGCCGGAGAGGCACTCTGTGCCGTGGGAGAAGCGCTGCCTGTGCTAGCTAATTCAGGGGTGCCGGGCAAGGGGACTGACACCTGCTCTCGAGAATGTATGAAAAGTCTCGTTTCGCCATCCTCTGTCTCCGAGTTTGTTATTTCAGGCAGGTGGGCATTTTCTCACACTAGGATCCTGAACCACGCGGTTGACGGCCACGCCGTCCCCTGCTCACCAGCACTCGGGTGTGCGTGGGAAACAGGTCCCTCCCTGATCCAGACAGTGCGGGCAGGAGGCCCTGAGGCCGTGGGGAACCTCAGCACCCGCAGGGGGTCACTGACCAAGGAATCCCTCCACGGAGACATAGCCATGTTAGCAATAACCCTGCCGTCAGCATACATTGCAAAGCCCATATATATAGGTATGTATGTATGTATGTATGTATGTATATACATAATCTACCTCTGATTGTGAATTGCCCAACAGCCGTGCAAGGCAGACAGACCAAGGTTTTGAACCCCCACATGGTGTGTAAGGATGTTGAGACTCAGAGCATTGCATGACTCGGCCAAGGCTGCACACGGCTTGTCGGGACTGACGCGGAGCCCTTCCTGGCTCTCGGCTCTCACCCAGGGTGGTCTTCATGCTGCCGAGGCTCTCCCCTCCCCCCCTCCCCCCGGATCAGGAGCTGGGCACAGCCCGCACGGGAGCCTTGCAGGCTTTAGAAGATGACCGGCCAGAAGGGCCTCCGTCCCTGGCCCAGCAGCAATAGCCCAGGCGACAGGGGTGCGGTGAGGACAGAGCGTGACCCAAAGTCAGCAAATGACAGCAAAGCAAAGACCCCAGCAGTGCGGAGGCCAGGAAAGGAGGAGACCACCATGTCTGGAGACAGCTGAGTCCACGGTGGACCCTAATGTCTGGCCACAAATGGTTTGAAGACCTCCAGGAAGTGCCTGGCCCAGTCCTTCTCCTGAGCAGTGGGCATGAGGACTGCCTTCTGAAAGGCACGGACCCAGTGATTCTGACCTCTTTGCTAGAAGCACTCAACATTTTAGGGCACCTTTATGTTGTTCAGAGATGACTTCCTTCCAAATCAGCATCTTCCCAGAGTCAGAGATAAAAGAGTGACATGGATCCTGGTGATGGGATGAGGCCGGGAGCAGCTGCTTCTCACAGAGGCCGAATCCAGACATGAGGAAAGGGACTCCTGACCCTGCTGATGGTCACCGGGCCACCATCCTTCCCCTCACCGGCTCTGATACTGCACACGTAGAGGCTCATTCCTTTGACTTGAGATTTTTTTCCAAGGTAAAAGGCAAATACATCCAGAGAAGTAATGTGCTAAGCTCTGCAGCCACAGCCAACAGGTGAGGGAGTGGATCCGTCCTCTCTGGGGAGAGTGGTGAGGACGGGTGCTGGTGGATCAGGAGAGGAGGAAGGCGCAGGGCCATTGCTGGCCTCCGGACAGTGACCCATCGGTTTCCTGAGGCTTGTCTACAAGGAGGTCCTTCTGGCCAGTCATCTTCTAAAGCCTGCAAGGCTCCCGTGTGGGCTGTGCCCAGCTCCTGATCCGGACTCTGTAATCTCACAGGACAGAGTGTGGTGGTTGGAATGGGAGGAAGATACAGAACTTTTATCACCAATAATTAAAACGGTGAATCTGGCCTGACCAGCATGGCTCAGTGGTTGAGTGTGGACCTATGAACCAGGTCATGGTTTGATTCCTGGTCAGGGCACATGCCTGGGTTGTGGGCTTGATCCCCAGTGTGGGTCATGCAAGACAGCTGATCAATGATTCTCTCTCATCGTTGATGTTTCTATCTCTCTCTCCCTTTCCCTTCCTCTCTGAAAGCAATAAAAATATATTTAAAAGTAAAAAGGTGAATCTGGGTTGGAATCCCAGCTCATTGACTTACTGGCTGTGTGACCTTGGGTAAATTGTTTAACCTCTCTGTATCTCTATCCTTAATTTATAAAGTTGGGGGTAAAAATAGTAGCTACTGAATGGAGTTTCGTTAAAATTAAATGAGTCAACGAGTGTAGAAGGCATGGAACCCTCTGGCACCCAGTGCATACTCAGAGAACGTCCACTGGCATCTTTACTAACGGAGCCAACATGTGCTGAGTGCCTGGGATCAAGCTAAATGCCACCTGGTGTACCATATGCCAGGCTACTGCTTTGCCTGCTGCTCCAAGGTCTTCTGTTCCTACAGGTTGATTGTGTTGGTCCAGCCCCCCAATAAGGCCAGAGGACCCCATACCTTGGGTTCAAGGTCATGGTCTCATTGTCATTCCCAAAGCCATCCTGATGCTGGGGGTTGAGCAGGTCACCTGCCCTGCTGCCCACTTCCCTCAATGGGAGTCTCCCTTTAGGGCCCTGGAGTCCTGTCTTGGCATCAAACCTTCCGCAGGGCCACCCTCCGACAGCTCTGCTTCCAGACCTGGCAGAGAGAGTCGAAATCGGAGTCCCGCCCAGAAGGGCCCTGCTTCCTCTGTACATGGCGCCCACTGCCCACGGCCTATACCCGGGCAGGGCCAGTCTTTTCAAAACACAGACAATATCCTTGTGTGCGCTTTGCTTGGGTCATGCGCTTCCCAGGGGTCGTATCCTTATATAGATAAATACAATCTCATAGTAGGAAATAAATAAGTCACCCAAGTGATTGCTTCTATACTAACAACAGCAAAAAACTGCCCCAATATGATGTCCCTCCGCTCCCCCCCCACCCCAAGAGCCTGGCGTAATGCTTTAAATGCCACCCCGTAAAGCACCCCTTTACACACAGCCTCGTTCAGCCTCAGACAGTGGGTATGCCCTTCTAACAGATCAGGGAACCGAGGCTCAAAGGAGCCAAGTGGTTTGCTTCTGATCTTGGCCCTGAGCCCATGCTCCGCCCCTCACCTGCCCAGACCCTCACCTGCCCGCCCCTCACCTCCCCTCCTTCACAGGACGCTGCCTTTTAGGCTGCAGACCCTGTGGGGCAGCGCATCCAGCGAGGGGGCCGCATGAGGCACAACTGGTACAAGTGAGGGGCACAGTTGAGGCTGTGGGAGGCCTTGGGGCTGAGACTGCCTCAGGCTAGTGACTCCCTGCTCCCAGCTGCTCCCCCTTTATCACCAGAGCCCTGGGCGGTTCCCTCTGTAGAGGCTCCTGAAGCATCGACGTGCCCCCCCCCCACACACACACACACCCTGAGGCTGGGTCTCCGGGAGGGTCCCTGCCCTGCAGGCCTCACAGCTCCGCCTGGGGACAGGGTGTGGGGGGTGCCTCTCAGCTCAGGGCGGCGCTGGCTGGCCGCGGGTGACCGGTGACAGCCTTCATTCTGCATGCTCAGCAGTGTGGATTGCACAGGGAGTGGGAGCAGGAGCGGAAGATAAGGGGGAAATAAATCACCTCCTTGATTTAGACCTAAGAGTGAGGAGAGGGGGTCGCCCAGCTGTGCTCAGCGCCGGGCAGGAGGGGCATCCTGGGCTCCCCACCTGCTGACGCCTGCACGGGGGGAGCAGAGGGACACGCTGCTCGCGGGAGAGGCGCACTGGGCATTTGCTGGAGCCTCAAGGCACCAAGACCTGCTGTTCCCCGGGGCAGACAGAGGGCCCTGCCCAGCTACCTCTGCCCCTGGCCAGCCCAGCCCTGCCAGGTGCCTGCTGGACTTCTCAGCGGAGTTGTCCGGGCTGGTGCAGGACAGGGGGCGTGGGCTGGTGCAGGACAGGGGGCGTGGGCTGGTGCAGGACAGGGGGCTTGGGCTGGTGCAGGACAGGGGGTGTGAGCTGGTGTAGGACAGGGGGTGTGGGTTGGTGCAGGACAGGGGGTGTGGGCTGGTGCAGGACAGGGGGTGTGAGCTGGTGTAGGACAGGGGGTGTGGGCTGGTGCAGGACAGGGGGTGTGGGTTGGTGTAGGACAGGGGGCTTGGGCTGGTGCAGGACAGGGGGTGTGGGCTGGTGCAGGACAGGGGGTGTGGGCTGGTGCAGGACAGGGGGTGTGGACTGGTGCAGGACAGGGGGCTTGGGCTGGTGCAGGACAGGGGGCGTGGGCTGGTGCAGGACAGGGGGCTTGGGCTGGTGCAGGACAGGGGGTGTGGGTTGGTGCAGGACAGGGGGTGTGGGCTGGTGCAGGACAGGGGGCGTGGGCTGGTGCAGGACAGGGGGTGTGGGCTGGTGCAGGACAGGGGGCTGGGGCTGGTGCAGGACTGGGGGCGTGGGCTGGTGCAGGACAGGGGGCGTGGGTTGGTGCAGGACAGGGGGTGTGGGCTGGTGCAGGACAGGGGGCTTGGGCTGGTGCAGGACAGGGGGTGTGGATTGGTGCAGGACAGGGGGTGTGGGCTGGTGCAGGACAGGGGGTGTGGGTTGGTGCAGGACAGGGGGTGTGGGCTGGTGCAGGACAGGGGGCTTGGGCTGGTGCAGGACAGGGGGCTTGGGCTGGTGCAGGACAGGGGGCGTGGGTTGGTGCAGGACAGGGGGTGTGGGCTGGGCTGGTGCAGGACAGGGGGTATGGGCTGGTGCAGGACAGGGGGTATGGGCTGGTGCAGGACAGGGGGCGTGGGTTGGTGCAGGACAGGGGGTGTGGGCTGGTGCAGGACAGGGGGCTTGGGCTGGTGCAGGACAGGGGGCGTGGGTTGGTGCAGGACAGGGGGCGTGGGTTGGTGCAGGACAGGGGGCTTGGGCTGGTGCAGGACAGGGGTGTGGGCTGGTGCAGGACAGGGGGCGTGGCTGGTGCAGGACAGGGGGCGTGGGCGGTGTGGGCTGGTGCAGGACAGGGGGCGTGGGCTGGTGCAGGACAGGGGGTGTGGGCGGCACCGGATTCCTCCTGTTTAACGCTCTCCAAAGAGCAGCTTAGCCCCCCCTTTCCAGGCAGAACTGGGCCCGCTCCGCCGCCTGGCCGCGGAGGATGAGCACAGAGGGGACCCCCACACGGTCTCGCCACCCACACCACTCCCACGCCGGTGCCCATGTCTCGCCCCGGCAATGGGCCCAAGTGGAACCTGGAGCCTCCACTGCATTTCCAGACCGTTTCCTATCTGCTGTGTGGCTGGTGACTGGTGGCTTCTGCCTCCGGGAGATGCCCCCTCCTTTGAGGGGGACCCCAGGCGCAGGCAGCGTCAGGCTGCAGGGAAGGGCGCTGCTGTCGAGGCCTGGGCATGAGGGAGGAGACCGCGCGGGTGACGCGGGAATGTCTATTCCAGTCCACCGGGCACGGCTGGTGCAGGACAGGGGGGTGGCACATTATAAAACACCACGTCCACCGGCGGCAGGATTACTTACAGCGGCCGCGATGGAAGCGGACAGCCTTTCCATCACGCCTGCCGCTGCGCTTCAAGGCTGGCGGCATAAATACTGAGCAAATAAAGTTAGCCGGCATCTGAGCCTTTTAATGAATAAAGAGCAGCAGGCGGGCCTGGGGGGCGGGGAGCTGGGCACCTTCCCAGCGGGCACTGGGCAAGACAGTGTGCCAGCTCCAGGCTGGGTCCCTGCTGCCTCCCCCTGCCCCTTCCACAGCCCAGCTCGGCCCCCTGCCTGGGGGAGCTTCCTCAGCCTCCTCCCGCTCTGCTCCTGCCTCCTGCGGTGCCCGGGCTGCAGGGCTCCTGGGAAAGACCTGCCCGTGGCCTCGTGGCCTCGCAGGGCGCATCCAGTTTCCTAGGGAGTCGCATCCTCGCACCTGGCAGAGCCCTGGGGGTGGCTTATTGCTCTCAGGAAGGCTGAACCCCAGGTGCAGGACATGTGAGAAAAAATGATGCTAGGACCTTAAGAAGGGACTTTTAAGGTTGCTTTTGTAGTGAGAAGAAGAAGGTGCAGGTTTGCCAGTGGGCACAGAAGGAACAATGTTTGCTGGGGTCCAACCCCAGCAGGTCCAGGGGTTCCCAAAGGTGTAGACGGAGTTGGCGAAGAAGGAATGACACGGAGACAGCGTTCAGTTGATCAGCAGCCTAGCCAGGATCTCTAGCCAGGATCTCCAGCCAAGTTCTGGTCTGGATCTCCAGCAAAGTTCTGGTTAGGATCTCCAGCCAGGTTCTGTGTCCATGTTCTCTTGCTAGTTTCTCCAGCCAGGTTCTCCGGGTTCTCCAGCCAGGTTCTGTAGCCATATTCACTCGCTAGGTTCTCCAGCCAGGTTCTAGCCAGGTTCTCTAGCCAGGTTCTCTAGCCAGGTTCTCTTGCCAGGTTCTGTGGCCAGGTTCTGTAGCCAGGTTCTGTCTCTAGGTTCTTCAGCCAGGTTCTCTCGCTAGGTTCTGTCTCTAGGTTCTGTGGCCAGTTTCTGTCCAGGATCTTTTGCCATGTTCTCTCCAGCGAAGTTCTTCTGTCTCTAGGTTCTGTGTAGGTTCTGTGTCTAGGTTCTGTGTCCTGTTGTCTTGTTACATCTGTATTTATACCAGTTGATTCCAATCCTATCAATCTCTATTCCAAAGGTTAGGGCGTTTCTTATCTCCATTCCAGGGAGTAAAGATTATGTAGCTTAAGCATGATTGTTCGTAGTTAAAGTGATTGATTACCCGCCTGGCACTTAGTTAAGGGTTTTTATTCCCTCCATAACTTCAGGGGAAAATCCCTACCTGGGGAAACAACCTTTCTCAGAGAGGTGACCTTGGTTAAAACACATAGTGCCAAGAAGGTGAGCAAACATATTAAGAACAGTATGCCATATATGCCAGGTCCCTTGAAACAGCAAGGATGGACCGGCTCCCGGCAAATGTTCACGGAAGCTCAAGGTGGGCAGCAGAGCCCAGCTCAGTTGGAAAGAAGCGGGTGGGGTGGGATGGGACCCCCTGGTCTGCGGGATGCGAGCCCAGGGCCATCCAGGGATGTGAGGAGTCTCCTGGCGGGTGCTGAGAGCTGGCACTGCTGGGAGGTGGCCGGATCACTGAGGCCTCCGGGGAGCTGGCAGAGCGGAGTCGCTGTGAGCACAGAGAGGCAGGGATCCATGCAGGCCCCGCGGGAGGTCCAGCCCAGCCCCGGAGGCTAGCACAGCGTGGCACGGGTGGCCGTGGACACAAGACCAGTGAGGCTGGTCATCGAAAGTCAGGCTGGGGCCACCGGGCACCCTCACTCCAGACAAACCACCTCTCCTGGACGTACCCCCGGCCAGGGGGGTGCTTGGAACATGGGATGAGGGTTTCAGAATGTCACTTGTCATGGTCTTTCACGGCATTCCTGGGGACAAACCGGAGATCTGTACCCTGAAAGGTATCCGGGAAGGAGCGTACGTAGCAGGCCGAAGGCCAAAGGGGAAAGATAGATGCCTAATGGTTGAGATCGGTCTCGGCAAAGTTCTCGGGGTGTGGGATCCCCTGTCCTTCCCAGATGTGTTATCGGTGGCTTTGGTGAAGATGTAGAGGACATGCTCACACAAATGACCCAGAGCTTCAGGGGCCAGTACCTCATAGAGCAGTAACGAGACGAACTAGAGCGAGCACGGTAGCGCTTACCCTGTGCTGAGTTCTGTTCTAAACACATTGCACATGCTAACATTTCATTTTCTCAGCATCCTAATGAGATAGGTAACATCAGTCCCATTTTACAGACAAGTAAACTGAGAACGAAGAGCTAAAGGTAGCCCGTTGTAGAACCAGAATTTAGTGCCACACCATCTGACCCCAGAGCCTGTGCCCTTCACTCCTGGCTAGGAGAGAGACATGGCACAGAGCCATTCCAAAGGCTGGCATTCTGGGCAGGACGTGAGATGAAACCTAGTAGGCATGCGTGGGAATGGCCGTTTCTAGAACCAAAGGGCATCGAGACAGGAGGGGGTGACCTGTCTCCAGCACGTCTGAAAACAGCTCCTTCTCCCAAGTCAACAGCCAGGGGGCCCCCAGGAGCGCCCCTGGGGGTGGCAGTGTGCTGGCCCATCGCTGTGCGGCCAGGCTCCAAAGCTGTCAAGGACACGGACCAAATGGAGCGAGCCTGGCTGACGGAACCAGCAGAGAGGAACCTCCAACTGGAATAAGGAACTAAATAAGCTGACAGCCACAAGGGACAGTTGAACCGGAGACAAGTGGGGGGCGGGTGGTTGTCATCCTAGGAGCCCTGGAGCCCTGGCACCCCATCAGGGTGTGCTGGCTGCATCTCCAAAGCCAAGGCCCCGGGCAGGTGGACAGGGAGCTACATTTCGGCTCAGCCCAAGAAGCACTTTCTACCTCTTTAGGCATTTAGACTCTGTCCCCCCAGGGCCCACCAAGGGCTCCTGGCCTGAGCCTGGAGGGACTAAGTGATTGAGACTCAATTGAGCCTGAGAGGGGCAGGAAGGGGGGGCGGGCGGGGGGAGGGGAGGTCGGGAAGGAGGGGGGACAGACCACCAGGGTTTTATATCCAGTTTCAAGTCCTTTCTGCTTTGGAAACCCCACCGGCCCTCAGGCCCAGAAAAAGAGTAGAAAAAGAGCAGGCGGCTCTGTCCTGGGGACCCATTTCAGGGACAGGCCGCCCTGAAGAAGGCAGGGTTGGACCTACTATTTGTCAGAGACATGGAATGGCATAGCTGAGGCCTCAACCTCTGGACCTTCTGCCCACTGACCCCAAAGAATGCCTTGAGAGTTAAGCGGTTAAGACGACAAGTTTTTGGAACTAGACTCCCTGGGTTCAAATCTCTGCTCCGCCATCCATCAGCCGTGTGCCCCTGGGCAAGTCATTTTACCCTCTGGACTTGACTTCATCATCTATAAAATGGGAATAATAATAACAGAGTTTTCAGATTTAAATAAAGCCTTTATACTAGTGCCTGATTCCTAGTAAGTACTCTACATGCCAGCCAGTAATACTACTCTTTTTACAAGATTCTAACTAGAGCAATACAGTGAAGTGGTTTGAATTCCAGCTACACTGCCTATTAACTTTGTGATCTTGGCCAAGAAATCTAACCGTAACCATGAATTTTTTTTATTTCTAAAAATGATATAGTAACAGTACCCATCTCCTAGGGTGATTATGGGGATTAAGTGAGATTATGCCTGTGAAACACTTGACACACTGCCTAGAACAGGAGTCAGCAAACTATAGCACTCGGCCAGATCTGCCCACCTCCTGCTTTGTAAATGAACTTAGACTTGAACTCTGCCACACTCTCCTGTCTGTATGGTCTGTGCTGCTTTCGGGCTGCAAGGGCAGAGCTGACTCTGGCCCACAAAGCTGGGAGTATTTATTATCTGGCCTTTACTAGAGACCGTTTACTGGCCCCTGGCTAGGACCTAGTATGTGCTCATTAAATGCTAGTCGCTATTATTAATTGTCTTGCAATCCCCACAGTGTTTCATAGGAAAGATTGGAGCCAAGCTTGCCTAACAGGTAGCTTCTGAGAGAAGGTTTTATTTAAGATCTGACATGGTGGGGGGTATTTTGAATGTTTGAATGTTCATCTTATTTGTGCTTTTTTTGGAGAGGAAACGGGGAGCAGTGTTTGGTTTCGCCATACACCTTCCCTCTGAGCGATGTATTTTCTGTTTTAAGATGTTATCAGTAGTTTGGGAGCCACCGGATTAATCAATTAATCCCACTGGTGAATTCCATTAGTGCGGACACTCTCATTCCCCACTGCACCCCATCGCCCAGAAAGCCTTTGCTGGGTTTCAAATATCCCCAACTGCCTGCGTTTCTGCAAAAGGCCACTGCCGCTGTGCCTAGAGCTGAGCTTGTGGTCCCCTCCACACACTCGCATCCCCTGATGGAGGGGCTGGGGAGGGTCCTGGGAGCCTCCAGGGCCATGGGGGTCATTGGGCCAGGGGAGCCCCTCCCTTCCTCGCAGCTTAGCAGGCAGCCTGCAGCTCCAGGCTGTGGTGGTGGTGGTGGTGGGGGGGGACCGGAAAGCGGGGGTGGGGAGGTGGGGCGGGAGGGATGGCCGACCGACCTCCCAGCCAGGTGGTTGTCATGCAACTTTTAGTCTGTGTTCCCGACACTGCTCCACCCACCAGGGATGCACAGCGTTAAAATATTAATGTCTGGCATGTGGCAAACATTTACAACCTGCTCAGACATGAGAGCTGTTGAGCCGGCCTTGTTGACAGACACCTCACCTGGGTATTGTTTGCTAAGTAAATGCCAAGGATTGCTCCCTAAGGGGGAGGGGCATGGGCACTGTCTCCTGGCCTGGCAGTGCCCCCCCCCCCCCCCCCCGCAGTTCTTTGAGAAGAAGCCAAATAGGTGTGTTTAGTGCCAGTTGCCTGGAGGCATTTGAAAGAGCTGATTTCGGGGCTGGTGGGGGAAGGGGTGCCCTGAGAGCAGCTCTGGGCCAGGCAGTGGGGAGCGGGCTGCGGAGGCAGCCACCACCACCACCCAGAGCTGGCAGATCACAAGGGGGTTGAAACTTTGGCAATGCCTAGCACCAGGGTGGGCCCGAGCCCCTCCCGCCTG